TTATAATCAATGGACGTGGACCAAATGGAACATATTTCACATTTGACCAAGGTAATTTTTTGTTTTACCCCTCTAAACTCTTCCATGGCTTGGCTTATTGGTCCTTTTTTTTACTGTTTTACATTTTGGAGCTTATTTTTGTCTGTTTCCTACAGGTAAAACTTACAGGCTTAGGATATCAAATGTTGGGCTCCAGAACTCTCTCAACTTCAGGATCCAAGGCCACAAATTGAAGCTGGTTGAAGTTGAAGGGACCCACACCATCCAGACCACCTATGAATCACTTGACATCCATGTGGGCCAGTCTTATTCTGTGCTCGTCACAGCAGATCAGGCCCCTCAGGACTATTACATTGCCGTCTCAACCCGTTTTACCAGCCAGGTCCTCACAAGCACTGCCGTCTTTCACTACAGCAACTCGGCCCGTCAAGTTTCCGGCCCAATTCCAGCTGGGCCCACAACCCAAACCGGCTGGTCCCTTAGTCAGGCTCTCTCCATTAGGTACGTCACTTATCCAATATAATACAATCCAATACTTTTTATATCAAAAGTAAAGAAAATTAAATTTACCCTTTTTTCCGTTTGCAAGGATAATATTACTTTGATCCTATTTATATATCATACCACATTAACGATAAAAGTTTTTTCCATCTGTACAATGGAGTCTCGTTTCTGCTAATGATTTTTTGTGCAACAATTTAACAAGTATGTCTTGAATTTTGTACATTTCAGGACAAACTTGACAGCAAGTGGACCTAGGCCAAACCCACAAGGCTCCTACCACTATGGTCTTGTAAATGTGAGCAGGACAATCAAGCTAGAGAGCTCAGCAGCTCAAGTTAGTGGAAAACAGAGATATGCAGTGAACAGTGTGTCCTTTATCCCTGCAGACACACCATTGAAGCTTGCAGACTACTTCAAGATTGGTGGGGTTTTTAAAGTTGGAAGCATCTCAGATAACCCTACTGGCCAAAAGATGTACCTTGACACTTCAGTCATGGGTGCTGATTTCAGAGCCTTTGTGGAGATTGTGTTTCAGAACCATGAGAACATTGTGCAGAGCTGGCACTTGGATGGATACTCTTTTTGGGTTGTTGGGTAAGTAAATCAATATATAATTCAGCATTTTGTTGTTAACAAAATGAATTTGAAAATGGGAATTTTGGTTGCTAATTTGTCATGCATATATATCTTCTAAATTTGTTCTAAGTTCTCACATTTATACTTGAATTTCAGAATGGATGGAGGCAAATGGACACCAGCAAGCCGAAACAAATACAACCTTAGAGATGCAGTCTCAAGAAGCACTACACAGGTTTGTTGCCTAGCTTTCTGTTTTTAATTTCTACAAACGGAAGTTGTTGATGCCAAAAATTGGTTCATCAATGAATTAGGGTTTCGCTTTCACCCTTACGTATTTCCATGTGGAATAAGTGAGACCGAAAATATGGTATAAACAAAAACCAATCACATAACCACATAACCGAAATTATATATAACCAGCACATTCAATAACTTTTCTATTTATACTAAAGTTTTGGTTGATTATGTTACAGGTTTATCCAAAGTCATGGACAGCTATATACATAGCACTGGACAATGTGGGTATGTGGAATTTGAGGTCTGAGTTTTGGGCAAGGCAATACCTTGGACAACAATTTTACCTACGAGTCTACTCACCTGTGGAGTCTGCTAGAGATGAGTACCCAATTCCCAGAAATGCCCTTCTTTGTGGTAGGGCTGCAGGCAGAAGCACCAGACCTTAATGAACAACCTGATTCAGAAGATTTATACGCAATTATTAATTTAACCATTGCAATTATATCATACATGAGTGTCCCATTCTTTTGCTACCAAAATTTTTCAATTGTAATTTGTATACTTTTGGCAATAAAATGCAGCTTTCATTCAGTCACTTGTTTGGCATGTAATTAAGTTCTGCTTCAGGTGTTAGAAGCCAAGGGGAAAGAAACATCTTGTATTGTTGTTTAATCAGGGAGAGAGAGAGAGAGAGAAAGGAAAAAGAAAGAAATTTAATTGCAAATTGGTGTAGCTTAAGGACAAATAAACAGGCCTCCAGCTAGGCTTCTTGTTTCTGTCAGAGAACTGTGGACTTAGTATTATGTGTTTACATAGTGACCACCCCATAAACAACCAAATTTGTCTAAAATCTGAAATGAATGTTACAATGGACGGCAACAACTTTCGTCGCTCTATGTGGGTCTCACCTCTATTAGAGATATTTTATTGCAAGTAATCGAAGATTCTGGTCTAGGGTCAATCCGGTTAGTCTGTGTGAACCCTGGCTCTTATCATATTTAACATTAAGCTCACTATAATTATACCTAACAAACCCTGCTCATAAAAATGGTCACAGAAGATGCTGGTGAATGGTCAATCCGGCCATAGATAACAACTATGCCAATCCGCCCAATGAACCTCTTATGTTTGTAAGTGCACATTTTCTCTAGGAAGTGACGGTTCCTAAAGCATCCGTGCGTATAAATATCCATCACATCTTAATTGAAGAGAAAAATGAAAGTGAAAGTGAATCTTTCTTGAACATACAACATAGAATTTGTTGGGAAAAAAATTAATTAGTTAATTAGTTTCTTTTAATTACATCTCTCATGGAAAACAAATCATGGGTTGGTCTTCTAGTTCTTTGTTTGGCTATAGCTGTTGTTGGTTTAGCAGAAGCAGGTGTGCCTGCAATCTTCATACTAGGTGACTCAACTGCTGATGTTGGCACCAACAACTTCTTGCCTGGTAGCATGGCAAGGGCTGACTTTCCCCACAATGGCGTTGACTTTCCTTTCTCAAGAGCTACTGGAAGGTTCAGCAATGGCCTTAACAGTGCTGATTTTCTCTGTAAGTATAATGTAGTTATGGAAAAAAAGAAATTTGGGAAAGCTAACTTGAACTTCAGCCTAACTTCTTTGAACCATGAAGCTTAACTTAACATGTTGCTTCTCGTGATTATAGCTAAGCAATTCGGTCTTAAGAGAAGTCCACGGCCTTTTCTTTCTCTCAACACTACATCTCTTCACAAGAAGAGCTTTAGAGGTGTGAACTTTGCTTCTGGAGGGTCTGGCCTTCTTGACATAACTGGACGAACTATGGTATGTAATCTTGAGAAAAATTGATCTCATAAGCATGAGAGAGAGAGAGAGAGAGAGAGAGCGATTTGGTTTTACAGATTTTTCATTTTCTTGTTTCAGCTGACTTTTATGAAGTTTGGAAAAGAGAGAATTCCATTTGGTGCCCCATTCGTCAATCGAAAAAATGTTATCTCATTATCAGAGCAGATACAGCAACTTTCTCTTGTCAAGAGCAATCTTGCTGCCATCAAAGGGCAAAGGTTAACTGAGAAGTTGATCTCAAAGTCTTTGTTCTTCATCAGCACTGGTAGCAATGACTTGTTTGGATATTACCATTCAAACACTTCCTTCTCCAAGGAAGCTTTCCTATCATCTTTAGAACTCGCTTATGAGAAGCACTTGAAGGTGGCTTTTCTCTATGTTCAACAAGATTCAACTTAATTTTATCCACCAAATGTACAAGTTTTCATAGCTTAGCTGAGCCCTGTACTAAAATGGCAGAGTTTGATCGATCTTGGAGCGAGAAAGTTTGGCATTATCAGTGTTGCCCCGATTGGATGCTGTCCATCTCAGAGGATTTACAATACTACTGGGGGGTGTTTGGAGGATTTGAACGATCTCGCAATCGCTTTTCATTCAAGGTTGGATGCCCTCTTGTTCAAGCTCAGCTCAGAACACAAGAGCATCAAGTACTCACTTGGAAATGCATTTGAGATGACAATAAATGTCATTCAGTTCCCTCTTGCATTCAGTAAGTCAATTCTCAATCACAAGCCATAATGCACTTCTTAAAGGAATCATGCATGTGCTTGACAAAAATGGTGAAGAAAAAAGCACAATCTAATTATATTTTAATTTCCTTTTGATGTTTCAGATTTTACTCAAGTGGAAGCTGCGTGTTGCGGAGCTGGGAAGCTCAATGCTGAATCCTTCTGTAGTCCAAAAGCCAAACTTTGCCCAAATCGCAACAATTACTTGTTCTGGGATCTATTTCATCCAACACAGGCTGCTTCTAAGTTAGCAGCCGTAACCCTCTACAATGGTGGACCACAATTCGTATACCCGATTAATTTCGCTCAGTTGGCCAAGGCTTAAAGAGCAGCCATTTTGGCATGAGCAATTTATCCCCAGAAGCAAACTATTTTTGCCAACTTTTAAACTTTTGTTCTGTTATAGTATGGTTGTGTTAGAAAGAAAAAAATAATAATTGAAACTGAATTGATAAGTTATGTAAGCATATCTTGATTTTCTGCTTCTGAAAGATTCAATCTGTAATAAATAGCTCATTATGAATATCAGCAAAAACCCAATTCCACAGAGATAGGCATGCTGCATGGACTTTTCAGCTTCTTCCTGCTGTGTAACTAGGCATTTTGAATCAGAGCTTTAGAAAATGGCTTCCAGAATTTAGAAAAGCTGAAGTAATAATGTAAATCTTTTATTCTGTAGAAGCTTGTGAAAATCCTTCGGATACACATCCAAGTTATTGTTTCAAATATTAGGTAACCAACAGGAAAATTCATTTGCAACCAATTTTCTTGTTGGACACCCTGCATTTAAATAATAAATTTTCAATATTTATTTATATATACTGGGATTCTTTGGTAGCTGATAGTGATCAACTCGGCCTGTTTACGGCACGGTGAAATCAATGTGATCGATTGTCAAGGCTGGGCTGTTTCACCTTGTAAATCAATTCCATTCAGAAA